TGCATTGGTAGTTAGAGCATAGGTAACTTAATTTTCTTCCTGCTGCCCACATTTAAATAACGTGTGAGTACCCAAGAAGACACTTGAGCAAATGCAGAGTTGCTTTCCTTAGAACACATTTCTAGCTTATGGACTGCTCCAGTTCCTTTAGTTGACTTTTAATCGCTGTGCCTTGAGTGTAACCTGGAAGGAAGCATCTTCAGCAACTGTGTAAAGACACAACAGAAGCAGAAGCTAAATGCAGATATAAGTTAATTACTTACTTTCCCCTTGGTGCCCATTTTCCTTGGGGAGCTTGCTTTGAAAGTGTTTTTCTGACTGGCCTTTCGTCTCTACCCAGATGCTCTGTGTTCTGTGCTGAGACCTCTGAGTAAATAGCATTCCTGCTGGCTGCTTCTCCTATCACAGCCCTGCCTGACTCCTGTGACATTTGTACAGTCATAGTTCATCCACAAACCCATCGATCCCAGCTGCATCAAGCTTTTTTTAAAATTAACTCTTATCTTTTATTACAATTTATCAGATAGAGAAAGTGAATTAATTGCATGAGACTGAGTTACAAATAACTCCTAAGTAGAGATATTTCAATTGCTCTACAACTTCCCTTTCACCCATTCTTCTCTTTTACACCCTCATAATTTCCTTGCACATTTGTGGCTTTGCTACAAATGTGCTTTTCTACCTAATAGCTTAGTGTATTGGTAAGTTTGTGCAAATAGACTCACAGTGTGTCCTCTTCTGTGTGTTTCCTCTCAGTTGTGTTTGTTGATCACTCACAGTGCTTTTCATTATAGTTTATTTTGCTTACGGGTGAACATTCTACCGTATGAACCCATCACAATTCATGTACCCCTCTTCTCTCTGCTTCTTTTTTAATCATGGTGAGTCAGTGGCTGCGTGCAAGTTCTCTTCATGAGCCCCACTGCACACATGCTCCGGTTTGCTTAGGGACATCCAGGACGGATGGAGGCAGCACAAGGCAGCACTGACTGTTGGAGCACTGAGACGCTTTTATTATGGGCACTAAGAAGCCACTGTCTCAAAGCTGCTAAAGTCCCTTTCAACTGCTGCAGTCAGGGAGCTGTGTAGTCACTGTTGGGGACAACTCTCACTGTCCGTCTGGATGTAGGGGCCTGGCAAACAGTCCCAGTGGCTGTGGGTCTCAGTGTCCTCCACAGACAACAGTGCTGCAGCTGCTGAGGACCAGTGCCCAGTGCCCATCTGACCTGGGGCTGTGACCACAGGTGCTGTGGGTCAGAACCACACGTGATGGCTGTTTGAGAAAAGGAATGTCTTCAATTGACTGCCATTGCTCTAAGGTTGTACATTTAGAGATAAAATATAATTTTTAAAATTGAGTTGGCAGTCAATTGAAGACATTCCTTCAACGTAAAAATCATGTATCCGTCACTCCAGATGATGAGTGGAAGAGTTGGACATCTCCCAAGTGCCTCCTGCTGTCTTCTTTAAAGTTCTCTCTACAGCTAACTTGTTTTCCATCTGTGGCCTCACTGTCATCTTATGACTTCATCCTGAGTGACAACTCTTTTGCATGTACTACTGTGATGGTGAAAATGACTCAGGTTTACAAACTGGCTGGACCTATGAGCGAGAGGATGTGGAAACTCATGCTGGAGTCACCAGACTTAAATTGGATGCTGTAGTGGTACATAAGGATACGTAATTCTTATGATTGTTGCTTCCCTGACAATCATTGAGGATAAGCAGTTTGGTGGTCTGGATTCAGGTTGCATTGCTTACTGATTAATTAATGAGAGATTTATAAAGATCATTGTTATGCAAATTTTATTTCTTATAGTACCTTTTGCTTTACATATTTAAAATTGTTTATTACATTTATTTAGTTTGTGTGTGTGTACATATATGTGTTTGAGTGTGTGTGTACGGGTGTAGGTGAGGAGAACCCGAAGGGCATAATTCTCTCCCTTAACTGTAGTGAGCTCTGGGATTGAACTCAAGTGTTTGGGTTTGGAGGCATTTGCCTTGATCTGCTGAGCCATCTTTCTGATCCTGCTTTACATATTTTACATTGTGATCATGTGTTGGGGAAGTCCTGTGTATATGTCAGTAAATTACTGCTGGCCAATAGGAATCTAGATAGGTGGGGCTAGGAGTCCAGGAGGATTCTGGGAAGGAGAAACATGAGGAGTCGACATGTAACCGCCATGGGGTAGGAAGCCCGGAACTATTCTCCGGTAAGAGACATACTTAGATTAACAATTATGGGGTAATTACTTAAAGCAGAGCTAGCCAGTAAGAGGCAAGCAAGGCCAACAGCTTCATAATTAATACAGTGTCTTGTGTGTTATTTGGGGACTACAACGCGGCAGAGCCCAGGCGACTGGCGGGTGATAAACCAAAGCGGCTAGCAAGGAAAGCTTCTCATAACAATCATGCAAAAGTTATATATTCTGTGTAGTGTAAGTTCAATATGTTTTTGCCATCTTTGCTTGTTGGTTTGGTTTTCTTATCCACATCAGCCTTTTTTTGTGTTCCCATAGTATTCCTTAGCTCTTCTTGACGTCAGTAGTGTACTATTGAGTAAAAGTGTTTTATTCAGCTTTCCCAAATATAATGCACCTTCTCTCTTCCACTTTCTTAATTTTTTTTGAGCCAGGGTCTTCTACTATGTAGCTCTGGGTGTCCTGGAACTCACTATGTAGATCAGAATTATTTTGAACTCACAGAGATCTGTTTGCCTCTCCCTTCCTCCTAAGTGCTGAGATTAAAGGTATGCACAACTATGCCAGGTTTTCAGCAGCTTCTGTGAAATAAACTGAAGTTCCCAGAACAAAGCCACTGATGTGATGTAGGGTCTTCAAATGTGAGGACTAGGATTTGACTCCTATGAACCCATGTTCTAGGCCCATGATGGCCATGGTAGCATTTGCTTGTGATCTCAGCATTGGAGTGGCAGAGACAGATGGATCCCTGGGGTTCACTGACCAGCTAGCCTGGTCTACCTGGTGAGTCGAACCCAATAGGAGACCCTATCTCAAGGTCAAGAAGGTGAACAATGTTCCAGAAGATGACACTTAAGGTTGTCCTCTATTCTCCAGCTGCACACACATGTGCCCACACCACTTCCCTCACCAGGCACACACACACTCACATATGCATTAAAATAATTATGTCATTGTTCATAATAAAGAGGGGTGAATGTTTGGCCTCTGGCTTGGGGACGGGGCATAGCAGTAGTGGCAGGATTCAGAGAAGAGCACAGGGAACAGACCCCAGTGAGCTGTGATGGGGAAAGGGAAGGAGCAATTCTGTGAAGGGCTGGGACCAGGGGAAAATGGAACCCTTTGCAGATTTTGAACACTATCAACACATGAGTTCTGTGGTATGCCAAGATTCTGTTGCTTGTCAATATTATTTCATTTTCTTAAATCAATAGATATGCAGAGGGAGTAAGAAATGTGAAGGAATGGAAAACATTTTGAGGAGCCAAGAGACAAGCTCTTCAGGGAATGTCTCCATGGAAGTCCTTTAGTTCTGACTTATTTTCTGGAGTCACACATCCATATCTGACTCCCCTGTATCTGTCCCAGTCTGTAGCAATATGCTGGTCCCCTTGAGAAACCCAAGCTAAGAAGTGTCACTGGATCTACCTGTTCCTTAAAGATTATTCTTCTAAGTCCATGTTGCCTGGTTTGCAGCTCTGGTAACTTCCCCAAAGCTCCAGCCAAAATGGCAGTAGAATTTCAGTGTAAGTTTAGGAGTCGAATATTAAATCCTATCTATTAGCCAACCTGTCTGCCTGCCTGCCTGCCTGCCTGCCTGCCTGTCTGTCTGTCTGTCTATCCATTTATCATCTACTTATCTAGTATCTATCTAGCACAGTAAAGTTTGTGGAGTGGTAGCTCTATGGTCCTGTCACAAAAGTTATTGGATTTTGTCTTCTTTATTGGTTCTTCTGGTAATGTTTCTCCCAATTTGAAGACTAATCTTTTTTTGGTTTTCATTCATAGACTGATTTTATCACTTGTCATACATACATAAAATGCATACACTTAACAAGCGTAAGCATTAATTCCTAAAGAATGTATTATATAAAACTATATGGAAGAAAAGAGGTCAGTTTACTATGTATTTGGCTTTCATAATTCTGTAAGTCATTCTATTCAGGTTAAATGATTTTCTCCCTTGTACCATCTAGAATGTTGAAAATGGAACTATGGACTACTGTTCAATGGCCAGTCTCTGATTCCAGAAAGTAGACTTTGAAGCACCCATTCTGGCAAGGACTTTATTTAGAGTGCCTGGTTGTGGACCTTTGTGCTATCTGAGTCTCAAGGGACAAGAGAAGCCTGTCTTTCTCATGAGTCAGTTTTATGATGGGGTTAGTAACTAGTATAAGTTTTTTTTTACTGTTTAGATTACTAGCTGATATAAAATTCTTGTTTGCTTTTGTTTAGTGAGACTTACCTATCTCTCATGTGTATGAGGCATTTCATATATAAAATACAGCAATGTAGGTAACATGTTTTTTTCATTGGCACAAGGGCTAGATCTGAAGTCTGTTTGATTACAAAGTTCATATCTATTATCTGCTGCTGCTTTGGCAGCTTTAGGTAGTTGATAAAATTTGGACTCTGTAATTTTCCTCTCTTTTGTTACTCGATTTCTGACCTCTGGGACATTGTTCAGTTCACTTTCATTATTTAAGTTAATAATTGTCTGATGATGTTAGTATACTGGTATTGCTTAGAACTCTGGAATAAAGGCTAAATTTATCATCTATAGATGAGTATAAACAGTTATTTTAATATTGAACTCTCAAGTAAATATAGTTTTCCCAATATTCATATTTGAGATGACTCATTATATTTCCTAATTTGTCAAGCTGGATCCAGACTCTCTGTGCTACCAGCCTTTTGTGCCTTTCATTCATAGTCTTTCAGCTCTCGCTCTCAAATTTGACGTGCTCAGTGGTACCACTATTGCATCTAGTGATTTCTCTTGCAGAATGTTGTGTGCTGAATTTAAATGGAACCACAAGAAATCTGCAACACTGACGAACGACACACACCATTTGCTTCTTGCAGGCCATAGCAAGAAACATGAACAGGAACATCTGAGCTGCCTGGGAACAGGATCAGCATCATGGGCTGTTCTACCAGGGAAGACGGTCACGATGTGGAAGATCACAGAAAGAGGTGCTCAGGCACTAAATATCACACACATGCTGTTCAATGTTAATGACATACAAAGTGAGCAGTGACAGCTAGAACACTTTTTGCATCCTGTGAATGTTGGAAAACAAAGCACAGACATATAAGAAAGCTGGCTGAGGATGCAAGCCTTGAGTCCAAGTCTCTTTCATCCATACAGTACTTAATTGGTATATATAATTCATTTTAATATTTAAAATCTGTCTTTCAGTCCAAAATAAGTCCACTTTTAAATTCTGGCTTTCCTAATGTTTATTGCTTTTTGTGACTATTTGTGTGCATGTGTTTGGAGTCAGCTGTTCTCATGAGACTGAAAGCTTTGTGGGGGTAAGGACATGTCTGCTTTGTTAGTATCATGCGCACAATGCCTATCTAACAGCAGGGCCTGGTCTTCACTCGTTGTAGAAGTTGTGTACTGAATGCTGAATGAATGGGGTCATAGAGTGATCTCAGTGACAGGCTAGACTTGGCCTCTGTAGCAAGCTTGGGAATGGTGTTTAAAAAGTCTCTTTCTTATTGCAGAAGACTCTACATTGGTTGCAGGACACAGAGAAATCATGCTGGAACTGGGCTGGAAGTTTCTTCCTTTCTGGCTTGCTTTCACGTTGTTGGGAGTGCTGTACATGCCTCTGGTGGATAAAAATCTCCAATATTGAGCTAGAGACCCTGAGTGTTACATTACTGACTGTGCCTATGTGTGCATTAGTGGCTGTGACAAGGTAGCCAACGGCTTTCTGATTGGACTGACACTGAAGGAGTGATTTCATGTGCGGTATGTAAAGTAAACCTGCTGAAAGTCAGTGCCTGTAGTGACTGTACTTCCTACAGGGGTAGCTCCTACTGTTTTGTAAAGTAGACATTTTGTACTTGTCAGATGCCTTCTAAATAACTATCTTTATGCCTAGAGATTGCTCATCACCAGAGGTCTCTTTAGTCCATGGGCACTGGTTGCTGTTTACCCTCTATGCTTGTGCTAATCAGTTTTCCATTAGAACTATAACAATCAGATAAGATAATAACTTTTTAAAAAGAGGAAAGGTTGGTGGACATGGTAGTGCATGCGAGTAATCCAAGTTCTCAGGAGGTTGAGGGAGGAGGACTGAGAATTTGAGGCTACCTGGTGGTGGTGTATAGTAGTATCCTTGGTGTGGGGAGGGTTGACAGAAAGGTTTATTTTGCTTATAACTGGAAGCTGACTGTTCTGTTCCTTTTAGGCCTATGATGGTTGTATACAGTGGAAGAAACCTTTCATGGTAAAAAGAGAGAAAGGAAGAGCACGGCACACTCCCATCCGTTCATCTCTTGAATGTTCTGTCACCTCCCAACACTGTCATGGGCAGGGGATCAAGCCTCTAACACATGTCCTTTCAGGAGATGCTTTCCCATAGTTGCATTGTCTACTTAGACAGGTAGACCCATCTTGCTTCTGATGGTGAAGTGTTGCCTCCTGGCCTCTGTTACTTCAGACTGGAATATCCCATGAGTCTACAGAAAAAGGTGAGCTTCTCAGTGAGGCCAGTGCTCTCATCCCTGCCTTTGTGGCCCCCAAGTCATGACATATTTCTTATTGTCTCAGTGAAAGAGCTGTCCCCTTTCGAGTCCATCAAAGAATTTAGTCATGCGCTGGGCTTCAGTTCTTACAGACCATTACCCTGTGTCTGCCTCTCAGAGCCTCTTGACCTCTTCTTTGGTCCTGTCAAAATGTCTCTACCTTTCAGCTCCATTGCCTACAGGCTAGCGTTTTTACCTTAAACTTCAGGGAACTATCTTAGTAGGACGGAAGTGACATTAGATCTTAAGGCATTAAGTCCTCAGTTACAGGTTAGTGTTCTTGGTTCAATAACCTCTCCCTTATATTATGCCATCCTGGCCTAGTGTGCTTATCACTGACTTCATTTTTTTCCGGGTCTTATAAGCCACATCTGTAGTTATTTTCTTTTGTAAATTATTTTCCTAGTCGAGGTAAGATTTGATCTTTGTCTGACAACTTAGTAGCCTAGAAACCATGAGGGAATGTAGGGGTATTCCACAAGGGAAGCAAATATGTCCTGTGAGTCATTTACTTTAGGATGGCTCCTAGTGGTCTCTAGGACAGGAGAGACTGCAACCCCATAACAAAGGGGGAGAGAATCATTGTATTTTTTATTGGCATATATTGTTTGCACAAAATAATGCTTTTTATTGTGACATTTTCATGTACGTACACAAAGCACCTTAACCATATCCACCTCCCCTCATCACTGTCTCTTGTTCCCCTGCCTCCTGATGATCACTCCCTCCCCAAACAGTCTACTTTATGTCCTTTCTAAAGATTTGTTTGTAATTGTAAATTATGTGTATGTGTGTATCTCTGTGTGGGTGTGTGCATGTGAGTGTAGATGTCCACAGAGACTAAAGGCAACTGATCTCTTGAAGCTGGAGTTATAGGCAGTTATAAGCCATGTTTTGTGGATGCTGGGAACAGAACTTGGGTCCTCTGAAAGATCTGAGCCATGTCTCCAGCTCTGTCATGTTTCTAAATGTTTTTAAGTCATCTGCATATGAAAGAAAACATGGCATTGGTTTTTCTATGCCAGGCTTACTTAGTATGATGATTTCTAGTTTTCATTGAAATGACACAATTTCATTCTTATGACTGACAGGAATGTCACTGGATATATGTATATATTTTATTTATTCATCCACCAAGTGATCAATATATAGGTTGATACTGTAGCTCAGTTGTTGTGACTAGCACAGTGGTGGTTTGAATGGTAATGACCTCCATAGCCTCATATATTTGACTGCTTAGTTACTAGTTAGTGGAACTGTTTGGGAAGGATTAGGAGGTATGGTCTTGTTGGAGGAAGTGTGTGTCATTGTGGGCTTTGAAATTTCAAAAGCCCAAGCCAGCCCAGTGTCTCTCTCCCTGCCTGCTGCCTGTAGATCAGGATATAAAGCTGATGTTCTTGGACCATGCCTGTCTGCTTCCTGTATGATGATCATACTAACCTGAAGCTGTAAGCAAGCTTCCAATTAAATGTTTTCTTTTGTAAGAATTGCTTAAGCATGGTGTCTTTTCACAGCACTGTAACAGTAACTAGGACAATACAGCAATAAACAAGAGCTTCAGGGATCCTTTAGGCACATACTCAAAGGGCCACTAGTTTAAGCTAGAAGGTTCAGGACAATCTGGAGTTCAAGTTTCTTGTGATACTCTCATTTCAGTCTTAAGAGCCATCTCTTTGTCACTGAGACTTTGACTTTAGTCTCAGAGATTTACTGGGACTACAGATTAAAGCTTCTCTGCAGTTTGGATTATCTCAGGGCCAAACCCTAGGCTTAGTTTTCAGTCCAAATTTCCCCCTAATGGTGGGAGATAAAGGAAGCTTAAGTGCTGCTGTAGAGCCCTGATGCCACTCAGCCATGAGAGCTCCCAGTGATCGGCTGCCTCAAGCTTACATGTCTTTTACCTTCAGCACATGGCACTTGGTAATTACATAAGCTCACTTCCTTGTAGCTGTCATGGTTGTCTTACCTCCTAAGTGTTAGCGATGCTGAACAGGGCAGCACACACCCTGTGATTGACATCCTATTGCAGGTCACCACAAGGAAGACTCTACAGGAACGTGCTACAGCAGCGTGTGGAGTGGGGGGTGGTGGTTACTGCCCCTGCATTAGCATCTGTGCATCAGCAACTGACTGCTTGACAGACTAAAACATACATGTGCTCTCAGTTTCTGTTGGTTGGGAGTCTGGGAGCAAGCAAGCTTCGCTCAGGAGGTCCCTGCTTACACGTAATGACCAGGGCTTTAGTCACCACAAGGATCGTTGCAGAGTCTGCTTCCCAGTTCCCTCACAGCTCCAGGTTCACTGGGTTCTCTCCACAGGGCTGCTACCCAAGGTGCATCATAGAAAAGCGTCACTCTACACAAAACTGTTTCCCCACTTGGAAGAACAAATCACATCCCTGGAGGTCAGCTACTTTTCTCTGGGTTGCCTGTCATCTCGTGGGCAGGAAGAATTTTATCTCTGGTTTGCTGGCTGCTTATCCCCCTGTAATAATGCATTTTATACTGAACTTTAATTATTTGCCTGTCTTTCCTTAGCTGTCAGGCTGACCCAGTCTCTCATAGTACATAGACTAATAAATTGTTAGTGCTGTGATTAGTTAAGTGACTGCCAGAGCTCACAGAGAAGTCAAAGAAAAGCTAGTGGACTGCTTTAGGATCATGTCAGTCAACCTGGTGGTGGGTTATCTGGCTTTCGGAGGGAGTTAAAGAGAAATAGTTGGGAGTAGTAAACGTGTTTTGCAATTGTAGTGTAGGTTGATGACAAATGCTACCACTAGGGGGAATCCTAGCATTAATTTAAACTATTTAATAGAAAATTGAGGATGTGTGAAGGCAAAAATATTAAGCCATCATACACTTAGAGGAATCTTAGCATGTTGGAAAGTGAGAACTTCCCAGAAAGACATTAATAAAGCCCAAAATTTCAAACTACTTTGAATATCTTTTTATGACTTTTCCCCTCTTAGAGGCTGGCAGTGGAGGCACTGGGTTACATTCAATTGAGTTCTTGACCAAGGGGCTTCCATGGAAATCCTCAGACAACCCAGGCTGTGTGCCAAGACAAAGCATTGCTCTCTGCAAACTGATAGTGGGGCCCCATTGTTCAGGATATCCACACAACTAACTCATTGGAGAAGTTGAGTGCTGCCTGAAAGGAGCCCTCACACCTACATTCTATACTCTTTGGTGAGGGAAGATACTGTGCAGGCTACTGAAAGAGAAATGAGGACACCAACCCAGCCACAAAACCCTTGACCTACAATATGTTCTGCATACAAAATATGCGAGGGAAATGATGGCACAGAATTTGTGGGAGTAGCCAACCGAGGTCTGATTTGACCTAAGGCCCACTTTGTGAGAAGGAACTCATACCCAACTCTGCTTGGTTAATCAAGAACCAGAGACTAGATAGCCCAGGGACCTAGGGTAAAAGCAAACACTCCTTGAAAAAAAGAAAGAAAGGGAGAAAGAACAATAAAATGATTCCTAATGATATTCTGCTATACTCATAAACCAGTGCCTTATCCAGTCATCATCAGAGAGGCTTCCTCCCACATCAGATGGGAGTGGACTCAGGGATCTGCAGCCAGACATTGTGTGGAGAGAGTCTAAGTTGGAGGTCTCCAGCAAATCCCTCCCTGAGCTCAAGGAACCTGTGGAAGAGGAGGCAGAAATACTGTAAGAGCCAGAGGGGATGGAGGACACCAGGAGGACATGGCCCTCTGAAAATTAAGCAAGGCTCATAAGCTCATAGAGACTGGGGCTTCAAGTGCAGGGCTTGCACAGGGCTGCACCAGGCACTTAGTGTATGTTATAGCTGTTAGCTCAGTATTTTTATGGGACAACTGACTGTGAGAAGGAGTGGGTCTGTAACCCTGTGCCTGCTCTCTTGCTCGCAGGACTCTTTTCCTCCTGTTGGGTTGCCATGGTAATTTTCCTTCACTGTGTTATGTTTGATTGTTATCTCTTAGAAGCCTGTTTGGGAATCCAGAGGAGAGAGGAAGTTGGGAGGAACTGGGAGGAGTAGAGGGAGGGGAAACTATAGCCAGGATGTATTTATATTTAATAAAAGGAAAATAGTATTTCCAGGAGCTTGTAGTACACCAGTATAAAGGATTCCTTGTGACTATGCAGGAGCTGATGACATTCATTTCCAGGTTATAAGGGAGCATTACCAAAACATAAATGCAATGCCACAGCCCGGCATTTGCCTACTCACTGTATTTCGGAGGAGGACCTCTATATTTTATAATACTTTATTATGATTTGAGGGATAGCTAATGATATATCTATTCTTTCAGATAAAAAGTGCAAGAGACTAAAAACTTTGCATGATTTAGGCAAGATATATTTAGAATCTGGATACCTGCTTATAGTGTAGGTCTGGGATTAGGCAAGCCTTGGGAGAGGCCATAAACCACCCTATGTGTCACTCTGCAGGGCCTGGGATTAGGTAAACCCTGGGAGAGGTCATAAACCACTCCATGTAGTCACTGTTCATAGTCTGGGATTAGGTAAACCCTGGGAGAGGTCATAAATCACTCCATGTAGTCACTGTTCAGGGTCTGGATTAGTAAACCCTGGGAGAGGCCATAAACCACCCTGTGTGTCACTCTGCAGGGTCTGGGATTAGGTAAACCCTGGGAGAGGCATAATCCACTCCATGTAGTCACTGTTCAGGGTCTGGGAGTAGGCAAGCCTTGGGAGAGGCCATAAATCACTCCATGCAGTCATTGTCCAGGGAAGTACTGTGCCTAGAAATTGAAAAGATGTGCTTTGCTTGGCGGTTGGGACAGGGCCATTAAATGTGGCTGAAGTGTTGGGGCTTAGAGGCAGGACACAGGTGTTTAGGACCCTACCCTGGGAGTTGAGTGTGGCCTTCAGCTAGCAACAGTGATGAATAGTTATGTACTGATATCTAGAGCCATTACTTGTGTAATACTTTTTATCAGGTGCTAACAGAAAGAATACAGAGATGCTGTTTTTGTGATAAATGTATGAGTTTCCAGTGAGCTCTACCATGGACAGGTGCTTAAAGAAGCCATAAAGAAACAGAGTGGGATAGCTCACATCTGTAACTTCAGTACAGTGAAGGTTATGACAGGAGAATTGTAGCCTGAGGACAGCTTGGGCTGCATAGTGAAAGTCTGCCTCAAAAGGGGAGGAGAAAGTTGTTAAGAGATATTCAAAGTCGTCTGAAGAATTGAGCTTCATTAACTCCTTTCTGGGAGATTCTGATTTTCCAACATGATGAATTTCCTCCAAGTTTGTTTTAGGGTCAGAGTAGGCAGGAAGCTGGTTTGAAATGGAAGGCAGGGGCAAAGTGGGTGTAGATTTCCAGTTCAGATGTGGGAAGATGGAGAAGATGTGTCTATCATTGAGAGTCTATAGGTCTGATGGTACTTCTCTCCCTATGTGCAAGGGCAAGCATCTCAAAAGTCATGGTTTCTTATCAAAGCAACAGAGACAACTAAGACAGGGAGCTTTATTTCACTTTAAAAAATTAATGCATTTTTATTTCTATTATTTAAAAAAGATTTATTTTTGTTGTAGGTGCATGAGTGTTTTGCCAGCATGTATGTCTGGGTACTATGTGCATTCAGTGTCCACAGAGGCCAGAAGAGGGCCCTGGATTCCCTGGAACTGGAGTTACAGATGGGTGTGAGCTGCCATGTAGGTGTTTGGAACTGAACCTTGGTCCTCAGAAAGAGCAGCAGGGGCTTCTAACCACTGAGCAATCTCTTAAGCATCTTCAATTTGTTTTTAACTGATGCATAAAGGCATAAAGTTGTACATCCCTATGGAGCAGCATGTGTTAGGATGTTACATCACAGCAAACATTCTCCTGAAAAGATGTTTCTTTATGAGAACAACACTCGAAAACCTTTCTTTTGGTATCATTTGATGTGTTATCTGTCCTCAGCTTACAACTGTCAACAGAACACCAGCACTTCTCACCGTACTGTACTCCAGAACCATCTTGTAACTGCATGCTGTCTTTTCACTTGGGGGACAGCTTCCCTTGCTGTGCAGAACCCCTTCTTGGTCAGCTGTAATTGTCTAATTGCTTTACTTTCCTGGGTCTGGGAGGTGTTGTTCAACAGGGCCTTGTCCATCTCAAGGCCCATAACTGTTGCCCTACATTTTCTTAGAGCAGTTTAGTAGTTTTAGTCCGGATACTGAAGACTTCAGTGTGCTTAGAGTTCATTTTCATAACTGGCTCAAGAGAAGGGGCAGTATAGCTTTATTTTTTTAACGTGTGGGAAAAATAACTTATTTTCCATCTAGCTCGCTAGGATCATCAATTGAAAGACACCCCCCCCTTTCTCCAGAGCATCTTCTTAGCCACCTTGTAGCTTGCTCACTGCATGTGCTCTGGTTTTCCTGGTGCTATGTTTGATTCCGTGGGTCTGTGGCTCTGTTTTTTTTCTGTCAAACAATACTGCTGTGTCACTAAGACTCAGTAGCATATTTTGGAGTATAATGTATAATGGCTCCTGTTTTGTACTTTTTGCTCAGGACTACTTTGTTTACTTGAGTTTTTTCTGGGTGTCATACAGATGTGAAGGTTATTTTGAACTGTGAGGAATATTAAAGGAATTATGGCAAGATTGCATTGAATCTGTAGATCTCTTTTTGTAGTATGGATATTTAAAAATTATAAGAAACATTTAACATAATTTCTTTACTTATTATTGGGAATTTCACATCATGCACTCGATTCATATCTGCTTTTCTGCTTCTTACTCCTGCAGTGTCCCCCACAAATGAAAATTAAAAATATTCAAACCAAACCAAAATCAAAACACACACACACACACACACACACACACACCAAAGCACCCTCTTCATTCCTCTGTCTTTCCCAACTCTCCAACACCTCTGCATTCCTCCTTGTGACATTGGGAGCCATGGTGTGTACACAATATACCATTTTGTGTAATCAGCTTTACTTGCAAATGCTCATCGAAATGACTTTCGGTCTGGTTTCAAGGTCTCTGGATTCTGGTATGGCATCATCAGCACATCCTCACCTAAACTCCTCTCAGATATCCAGAAGCCACCTGAATCATGCAGATCCTGTGGGTATCTTTCCACAGGACCACTCCCTTCAAGAGCTCCAGCAGGTCCTAGATGGGGTAGACGTTAGGGTGGGCCAACCCAAGGCCCAGCTGTGGGCCTGGGTGGTGGTTGAGCTGGTTAATCTAGGCCACTGGGGCCGCCCTGCCTCAGGTGAGGAGCAGAATCAGTTCCACTGGGGCCATGCCATTAGGGTCACTTCTCCCCAGCCTGTGGCGAGGGGTGGGACCATCTCTCCCAAGTGCAGTGTGGGGGGAAGGGGAACAACTATCCCATGAGGGTTGAGGCCACCTCTCTTGCTGCAGTGTCCATAGAGGGGCAGGATCAGTTTTCCCAGGGCCAGCAAAGGACAGGCTGGCTCAGTGTGGCCCGCTGATTTCATCAGCCACGATTCTTAGGGCCTCCTGTGGGTAATATAGACATCTAAACAATGTTCTTCTAATTCCTGAATTCATGACCAAAGAATGTTTCTAATTGTTTGTTTAAATATGCATATACTTGAGACATGATCTTATAATGATCAAGTTATGTAGAACTTGCTATGTGAGTAGTTTGGCTCTGAATTCACACATGTTAGCCCTCCTTGGCCACCAAGGGGCTTGGATCAAGGAAGCACACCGTTATACTCTGCCATGTTTTATAGTTTTTATTGTAGAGGTCATTAGCCTTTGGTTAAACTTGTTTCTAGTTATTAATTTATCTGTGAGATCAATCTCTTAGCGGATTATGAGACTGCTTCCCTCATTTCCATATCAGACAACTTGCTGTGGCCAAATAAGCGTACTATTGATTCTTGTGTGTCGATGTTGTGATCTGAAAGTCTGCTGAGTTGTTTATCAGCTCCAGCAGCTTCTCTGGTGGGAATTCTGATTCTTGTGGACAATACATAGAGCTTTGTGTGTAGATCCATACAGTGGGGGAAGATCCAGTGGGCAAGGAAATGTGGGTCCAGATGTAGAGACAGCTGTGCCAGTGGAGCATGTTGGAGTCCTTCATCTGCAGAATATGCCATTGGGTGGTTCAGATCAACCATAATATAGCTGTCAAAGGGAGGCTGGCCCTGCACGGCACTGGGTCATGTGAGAATAATTTTGATGGTGTGGTCAGGTGAGAAGCCTGGTACAAGATTGTTGCTGAGTGAGTCAAAGGCAAGAAAGTAGAAAAGCATTGTCTTCTAAATCACAGTAATGCAGAGTACAAGTTAGTGATGAAATACCGCAGGTCTTGTGATTAAGGCAACAGGACACATCGGATACTACAAGAAGGAAAAAGAAGAAAAACAAAATATTGATGAATTTCTGAAGCAACATATACTTTGGATTCAAATTCTCATGTTTTAGATCTATAAACTAGAATCTCTTTCCTTGAGATTGGGTAAAAAATGGGCAGATTAAAAACCTCTTGAGAGACCTGAACAAAATAACATGCAGTTCTCAGGGTAATAAAGTAGGGGAGGAGTTTTAAACTGTGACAAATCCTGATGTCATTTATGGTTAGTTTCTACCGGGGAGATTAAAGAGGTGTCAGAATTAGGAATCTTATAGACAATCCCCGCACAGGAATAAAACAGTGGTAATGTCAAAAATGGTCTCTGTAAATTGGGCTCAATATTTCTCTTTCATGTTCTCTCTTGTTATTCTGGGGAGGAGTGGAGGCTAGACATGAGCTAAGGTGTGGGTAAGGAAGTCAGAGGGCAGCCTTGTGGAGTCATTTCCCCCTTCCGTCTTTAAGTGGATGCTGGGAATTAGATGTTCATCATGTGGCGAGTGATTTTGCCTGCAGAGCCATTTCTTCAGCTCCGGAAACTACGTTCCTAAACTTGGACCACTTCCTCATGGGATGCCATTTTTATTTCTGTGTTGTATAAAAAATAATGCTAAAATATTTACTACCTTAATACTTTCAGGATCACATGATTTATAAGTCAGCAATAAAGCAAAATTCGGAGGGCAAGGGGAGGCTTTGAGGTCCTGAGAGATCCCTTGTCTATACAGTGTCTGTTGCAGTGACAACCCCTCTGTCCCCATGCCCACACCCAGATTAAAAATGACTTTTACCATTGCCCATTTTTCATTAGCTGAATTGCTTCATTGACCTTATCGAGAGACAGGGTGTGGGTAATCAGTGGATCTAGGTTAAACTTCTTTGTCATACAGTCTGAAACCAGCTTAGGGATTTCATCCTTGGTTTTCCAGCCTGGAAATACACAAAAGAACACAGAGTTATGAAAGATTCTACTCATGATGTTTCAGTATAAAAGAAAGGCTATCATAAAAAAGAGGTTAAGGAAAAAGGGAAGGAAGGAAGATAGGAAGGATGGCAGGAAGAAAGAAAGGCCATGTTAAACTGATAGTTGTTTTGCTGTCCCATCAATTTGTCCCATCAGGACAAGTGCTGTTCCAACCATGTAGGCCGTACACAGGATCATGCTCTTCCAGAGAACCTCTGTGCCTTGGACATAGAAGCCAATAGAAAATAAATTGCATCTTGCGATGTTCCTGGTGTTAGGTTATAATCTCTGTAGACGGGAATCTGAACCAAATGTATAATAAAGGCCACAGTCTTGGGATGCATACATGAATTAAAAGGTTAGAAATAGGGGTTGGGGAAGTAGTTCAGTTGGGAAGACACGTGGCTATGTGCATGAGCCTCTAGTTTTGATGTTCAGCACTGCATTCTCTAAAAGCATAGAAATCTCTCTCTCTCTCTCTCTCTCTCTCTCTCTCTCTCTCTCTCTCTGTGCATTTGTGTGTTTTGACATGCAGCTTCATAAACAAGTCAAACAGTCTATGGTAAGAGAAGGACATCATGGCAGCAATCCCAGAGTAGCAGAAAATCAATGTGTATGAGTTACTAAAATGTGTCCTGTGAGAGTCAAGATGACAAAAGAAAGATGGATCCAGCTAAAGCAACACAGGCCTCACAACACATTTTCCCGATTCTCACGGGCTTCCAAGAGTGTCTATATTACAACTGGGCTAAGTACCTTGGACAGTGAGTCACAACCAGAGTTTTCTAGCCTCCCGTATGGAAGAGGCAAGCATGGCATAGCTTCAGGGTGTGATCTGTATCCTGCCTAGTGCCCTCTGCTTATAACTTTGTGATGGGATTTTGTTAGCTGCTTGATTTTCTTGATTTTCCCTAAAGAAAAAAAGATATGACCGGAGAGATGGTTCAGTAGTTAAGAATCCTGGATGCTCTTCCAGAGGACATGGGTTTTATTCCTTATACCCACAGGGCAGTTTACAACTCTCTGTAACTCTAGTTCCAAGATATCTGGCACCCTCTTCTAGCCTCCATGGGCAGTAGGCATATATGTGGTATAGACAAATATGCCAGCAAAACACCGACACATATAAAAAGAAATAATAATTAAAAAATAAAATGTGCTCAATAGTACAGCCTATCTTATAAAAGAAAGATAAAAGATTATTTTCATTATTATTACTTTATGTGTGTGTGTGTGTGTGTGTGTGTGTGTGTGTGTGTGTGTGTGTGCAGGTGCCTTAGGAGGCCAGAAATACTGGATCTCCTGAAGCTAGTGTCATATGTGGATGCTAAGAACTCTGGTTCTTTGCAAAAAATGCGTGCTTAGAACTGCATCTTTGCAATACTGTTGAAGTTTGGGTAGTTTTGAATCGAGGACTTCAGCAATTGACATGGAACATTCTGTTACTGAACTATATCCCCAGTACCTAGACACTGCTGTGTTGTTTGTATGTTTTACAAGTCAATAAAAAACTCTCATCTTTTTTTCATCTCCTAGCATGAAATAAAGCTTATTAAAAAAAAAGACAAGGCAGAGGCATAGCTAATATCCTCTTTTATTTTTCTGAGACAAGGGTTCTCCGTATTGTTTTGGAGGCTGTCCTGGAACTCACTCTGCAGACCAGGCTGGCCTTGAAGTCACAGAGATCCGCCTGCCTCTGCTTCCCGAGTGCTGGGATTAAAGGCATGCGCACCAACGTCCAGCAATATCCACTTCTTAACTTTGGTTTTAAACATTGAAACAAAAACTGTAATCTAGAATTGATTGATGCCTTTTCTTAGGCACCTCTGAGCCATTTTTCTATTTCTTCCTTCTAGTTCCTCATTTTTAGTTTTTAGTTTCTTCTGTACATACCTCCCAAAACTGACCCTTTCACCGTACGTCCTGAGAAGAACAACTCGCTACTGAGGTTGATTTGAACCCAAGATCCAATTGATCCAACAATCACGCAGACCCCATGGTCCTTGTGGCAGGAGGCCAGGGCAGGTGCCTGTTGTAAAGCAATGTAAGACAGAAAAAAGATAAAACCACCTACTTCATAGTTTGACCCACTCTTATTCAGCTTGACTGCTTCATGACCTGTGACATCCTTTCTGATTTTCCCTGTCCTTTTTGAAATAGCATCAATATGATGTTCTACAACATAGGTAAGATATTGTTTCTGCCTGTACTTGGCTTTTTAGGATTCAACAAATTGAGTAAAGGTGAAGACCATTATAGACCATTGGTATATAAATAGTAAATAATAAATATAATAAAATAACAATAGTTTTTGTAAGGACTGTGATGTGGGCTGCTGGTTTGACTCGATGTTTTTCTTTTAGATATCAAAAGGGACAGTCATATGTTTGTATAATATGACACACTAACAAAGTGACCACTGCTGTCTTCTCATTAGTCATTTTCAAAGGTTATTTCTCAGAACAAGACTGGGATAAAAGCTCTGCTGTCTATAAGAAATCTTGAATTCTGGGAAAAAGACCCAGGTTGGAAGGGACTCCTCTTGGCTTTCTATGTATCTTCCTGGAAGATAGATCCATGCAGCAATAATGCATTAATCCTTCACGACCAAAAGAAAACTCTCCTCAGAGTCTGGTGTGACTGCCTTTCATGTTAACCATGTTCAGGCAGAAAAACCACAACTCTTTTTCTTCAATTTTTGGAAATGACCATTTAATCAAGTGAGGAACTGTTTTTCTTCATTCAGAAGCTCACATCTAACATGAAAGATTTTACTGAAAGTAAAAATCTCATTGCTTTACGGGACAGTTTAGTGGAGCTTTATCTCACTTAAGTTTTCTGGCTTGATAATCATAGTTATCTCAGGCTGTCTGTGGTCATATAATTTCTGACTGGGGGTTCTTTATGCTTAATTGAAGGAAAAGTATTTTGGAACAGAGGGGTAAAGAAACTCAATAGCAAACTTGTAGATTCAGTTGGAAAATAAATGGACAGAATGTTGTAGTGGGTATGTCATGGACCACAAGGAAAATTAAATAGAGGAATGTAGAAGGAATTGTAAGATATTCATTTAATTAAAATATTAAACAACAAATGGTATAATATACTGGTAATTTTTACTTCCAATGATAACGTACCACTGTTTCTGGGTTTCCAGTGACCTCAAAGCAGAAGTCTGCTCCACCATTCATCATATCAAATAAGACGGTCTGAATGGGTTTCTCAAAGTCTCGTGGGTCTATGCACTCAGTGGCACCCACTGTCTTGGCCTTTGCAAACTTGTCTTTGTTGATGTCCACAGCAATAATCTTGGCTGCTCCAGCTGCTTTACAACCAATGATGACAGACAGACCAACACCTCCAAGACCAAACACAGCACAGGTGGAGCCAGGAGTCACCTGGACACAAAGGCAAAGGAACATGAACATGAACTTTCCCTTCTATGGTAGAGAGTGATGCCAAGTCTCATGCTAGCTAGAAAGCCTCTACCAGTGAGGTGTTCCACAGTTCTCTGTGTTCTCATTGACTGGAGGAGGCCAAGACAGTTGCTTTTCATGAGACAGAAGGACAGGATATTTTCAGGTAAAATACTTCTAGAGAATTTTAGTTTCTCAGGCTGTTTCTAGGTGTGTAATACTTAAACCACAAGAACAAACACCTACTACAAGGATGGCGTTTCAAGTCCCAGGCTGGAATTAGCATGAATGGAAGTAATAAAATGAAATTTCACTGAATCTTAAGATTCATTTAGACAATGTATTTCTTTAGTTCTAGATAGTTAAAAAATTTTTTTTCAAATACCTCCATCTTCTTGCAAACTTCCCTTTCTCTTTTCCACTGAGTCTCTGGAAATTCCAAGTCATTTCAGAGTCACTGCTCATGGAGGTATTCATCCTTCCTTCCTTCCTTCCTTCCTTCCTTCCTTCCTTCCTTCCTTCCTTCTTTGCAGCATGTAGGGTGGCACCAATTTAAATTGAACCCCTTCCAACCTGATATAATTTGCATCTTGAATTGAACATGCTCTAAAGACACGTGTGATAAAGAGCTACTTGTGAGCCCTTGACATCATAAGTAAGTAGCAGAAGGAGCCCAGTGGAAAGAAAACATCATGGGCATATGCCCTAAGGGGATTTTTGGACACCAGCTCTCCTGTCTTTTTGTCTCCCATTTATAATCTTTCTGATCCTGGATACCATGAAATGATCAGCTATGTTCCACTCTGCATTCCCTGCCCTGACTTACTGCACCAAGATAGCTCCCAAGACCACCTCACAGACTAAAATCTCTGAGATAGTGAGCCAAAACAAACCTTCCTTCTTTGCAATGTGATTATGATGGGTATCTTGTCACAGTGACACAAAGCTGACTAAGACACATCCCATCTCTGTGTGTAACCCTGAGCCTAAAGAACAGTGGACATAGCAAAGACTTAAATATCAAAAGCCCCTTAAAGAATTGAGATGGGATGGTTAGTGTGATATTCCAAGAGAAGGAGTTTAAATATATCCTGATGGGTAAAGTCCTCTGTGTACATGTTTCTCTTATTGCTTGATGAGTAAAACACTGTGGCCAATAGAGGCAGGAAGATGAGTAGAATTCTGGGAAGTGTAGGCAGAGAATAGATGCCATGTGAGACCCGGAAGGTAGGAAGCGCCAGACCCTTCTTCGGTAAGATAAGACTGCATGGAAATACTTAGATTAATAGAAATGGGTTAATAATTAAGACAGAGCTAGCCAATAAGAAGCCCTAGTCATCGGCAAACAGTTTCATAATTAATATAGCTTCTGTGTGTTTATTTGAGGCCCAAGGGCAGAGGGATCTGCTGGGCCAAGAATCTCTCGTTACAGCAGCCCATTCAATCAGAATGAAATTCTCTGGTCAGTGCAATCACTTCTTTATTGGTTCTCTTTTATTCTTAAAATTTTATTTGGTGTGGTGGTTTGAAAGAAAATGGCCCCCAAAGCAAGTGGCACCATTAGGAGGTGTGGCCTTTTTGGAGTAGGTGGGTCTTGTTGGAGGAAGTGTGTTACTGTGGAGGGTGGGCTATGAGGCTTTGAGGTTTCATATATGCTCATACCATGCCCAGTGAGACAGACTATTTTCTGTTGCTTGTGGGTGTAGATGTAAGAACTCTCAGCTTCTTCAGCACCATGTCTTCCTGCATGCTGACTTGCTTCCCACAATGGTGATAATGGACCTAACCTGTTAAACTATAAGCAAGCCACCCCAATTAAATATTTTCTTTTATAAGAGTTGCCTTGGGGCCGGGCATTGGTGGTCCACACCTTTAATCCCAGCACTCGGGAGGCAGAGGCAAGTGGATATCTGTGAGTTCGAGGCCAGCCTGGTCTACAGAGTGAGTGCCAGGACAGGCTCCAAAGCAATACAGAGAAACACTGTCTCCAAAAACCAAAAAGAAAAAATGGAAAGAAAGAAAAAGAGTTGCCTCAGGGGCTGGAGAGATGGCTCAGTCATTAAAGGCTAGGCTCACAACCAAAAATACAAGAGTTGACTTGGTCATGGCATCTCTTCTCAGCAATAGAAACCATAACTAAGACATTTGGTATACTGAGCCAGGGCCTTGTGTACACTAGGTAGGTATATGTTCTGTTCTTGAAGTAGATCTTCAATCTCTCTCCCTTTCTCTTTTAACATTTACTACTAAGTAATATACTATTAAATTAGAATGTAAACTTGATGAGTTTTTCACAGCAGACTAGTGAAAACTTTTACCATTGCTTGCTAAATTAAACAAACTAGAATATGGAATGATATAATCATATTGTAATTGTGTTATATTTAAAGTCTGTATACCTATAGTTATAGATGGCGGGGAGTACATGGGGAGGCAACCAAATAATTTAATAAACTTGGCAATGCTTAGAGGTAAGTTTGTTTGCTTTTTCCGGTGAATGACCAGGTGGTATCCCAATGTGAGAGGTGTTTCACCTCCTTATCCCACTAGTTCTGTTTAAAAATGGGAGTAAATGTCTCACCTTGGCAGAGTTGAGTGCAGCACCGAAGCCAGTGGCAAACCCACAGCCGATTATGCACACCTTCTCCAGCAGAGCACCTTCATCAATCTTGGCGACTGAGATTTCCTTTATGACTATGTATTCAGAGAAGGTGCCTGTAGTAATAAATTGATACACTGTCTTCCCTTTGCAGGTAATTCTGCTGTTGCCTTCAGACGTCTGATGTGACCCTGACAGTCTTTATAGGTGAAAGAAAACAAACTTTATGTTGTATTAAAAAGCTTAAATCTCTCAAAGTGAAACTGAATTAGACATTCAAAAAGATAGTTATAAAGACTTACCTAGCTTCCTTACAAATATTGTTCTTGGAGTTGAGGCAAGTGTTACATTCTCCACATTGTGGTAAGCATAAGATGATGACTTTATCACCTAAAAAGCAAAGTGATTTATTAGGGTGCTAGTGTTGAGAAGTCTGATTTCTTAGGCTGTTAATAGCAAGGAACCCAAAAAATGTCATAATGAAGAACTATTTCTGTGTTTAATTGTGCTTGATCACAAACATATTTTCAGCATGCTGTCAAGCCCCAGGTCATGGCTGAATCTCTAGGAGCTGGCCCTAGATGGGCCTAACTTGTAATGTACTTTTGGAATACCCAGGAAAAGAGTTTCATTGTGTGCCTTTGTGATGGTTTGAAAGAAAATGACCCCCAAAGGGTGTGGGTACTTAGGAGGTGTGGACTTATTGGAGTAGGTGTGGTCTTGTTGGAGGAAGTGTATCACTGTGGAGGTGGGCTTTGAGGTCTAGTGTGCTCCAGTTATGTCCAGTGAAACAGACCACTTCCTGTTGCCTGCAAATCAAGATAGGACATTGGGCTACTTCTCCAGCACCATGTCTGCCTATATGTCACCATCTTGCACCATAATGATATTGGATTAAACCTCTAAAAGCTTTACCAATTAAATGTTTTTCCTTTTTAAGAGTTACTATAGAGTTGGAGAGATGGCTCAGTGGTTAAGAGTTCCTGAGTTCAATTCCCAGCAACCACATGGTGACTCACAACCACCTTAAATGAGATCTGGTGCCCTCTTCTGGCATGCGGACAGAGACTGTATACATAGTAAATAAAATGTTTTAAAAAAAAGAATTCCTATAGTCATGGTGTCTCTTCAAAGCATTAGAAACTCTAAGACAGCCTTCAACTACATCTTATGTCCTCTACATTAATTCCACTATAGGACTACTGTCAAAATAGATACAGTGCTCAAAGAATGAGGCCCAGGGTTGGGGGAAGATTGCCTACAAGTTGTGTTCTGTGTTGTCCTTCATCTCTCTCTTTGTGGCATGGAGAACAAGTATATTCTTATTTTTTAATTGCTTTTTAGGAGGAGAAGATCCGAGTGTCTTGCTTGGGATGAAGCTATTGACTGGTTCATTGTCTGATACTGCCAAGTATAGGCATTTATTATAAATTTGCATTTAAAAGCTTTGTTAGAATTTAAGCTCTTGTAATTTGGTTTTAGTTTTAGTAGGTCAAAGACTCCTACAATGAAAACTTCAAAACTGAGAAGAAAGAAATTGAGGAGGGAATTAAAAAAGGGAAGAGACTCTCATGCTCATGGATTAGCAGATTGACCATTGTGAAAGTTGCCATTGTATTAAATTTACAGATTCAGTGTAATCTCTATACATCATTCCAAGGATAGCCAAAGCAATCCTGGGCAAAAAGAACAACGTTGTATAAATTATCATACCATTTTAAAATTTGTATTATAGAGCTATAACACTAGCACAAAACCAGACAGGTAGGTCAGTCAGTCAGAATAGAAGACCCAAACTGAAGAGCATATACATATGGCCATTCGATAGGTGGAAAAACTACACTGAGGAAAAGACAACTGCTTCCATATAGTGATGAGAGAACTGGATATCCGTAGATAGAAGATCGAAATTAGACCTGTGTCTATTACTCCTCCTCAGGGAAAAAAAGGAAAACTCCAAATGGATGAAAGGTTTCAATGTGAAATCTGAAATGCTGAAACTGCTAGAAGAAAACATAGGGAGTGCTCTACAAGATACCAGTGTAGGACAGGACATGCTTGGCAATGAAGGCCAAGAATTGACAAATTGGGCCTCATGAAACCAAAAGGCTTCTGTATAACAAAGGGAACAATCAATTGAGTGAAGAGGAAGCTGGAGTGGGAGAGAAATTTAACAGAAATTTAATATTCAGAATAGACAACCCAAAGAACAGAGGATGAAGGAAAAAAAATCCAATTTAAAAAATGGACCAATGACCTGAACAGAGAGTTCTCAGAAGAAGTGAAAATGGTCAAGAAATATTTAAAAAATTGTTCAACAATCTTAGAAATGAGGGAAATTCAAATTAAAACCACTTTAAGATTTCATCTTATCTTAGTCAGAATGGCTTAGGATCAAGAAAACAACTGGCAACAAATGTTGGTGAAGATGTTGGGAGAGTGGACTCCTTAGTCACTCACTGTTGGTGGCATTGCAGACTGGAATCCACTCTGGATTTGTAAGCATTCTTGAAGTTAGCATGCAGAATTATATTAAAAAACCCTCAAAATTTGTTTACTGTATGAACAAGCTAAACTGTTCTACATCATAAGCCCAAAGGACTCAATATTCTACTCCATAGATATTTTCTCAGCCATATTCATGCCACTTATTGAAAACAGTGACAAGATGGAAGCTGCCTGTATGTTCTTCAGGTGATGGAAGTATAATGAAATCATGATCCTGATACTCAATGGTATTGCTTTCAACTGCAAAGAAAATGAAATCATAAAATTTACAGGGAACTGGATAGAGCTGGAGAATATCCTGGGTAAGGTAACTTAGAAAGACAATTGCCATATGTTCTCTTATGCTTGTGAATTTATACTTTGTATTTGAATATAAATCCTGGAGTAACCTCAGAAGTCAGTAAAGCAAAAGGAACCATGGACAAAGCAGAGAGGAGTTCTAGAGAGGAGGCCATAGGACACAGATGACATGAAGGAGGAAAGGGAGAAACGGGAGTGAAGACTAAACTGGGGAGGGGAAGATAGGGTAATACAGAGAGAGAATGAGGAAAGTAAGTAACACTAAAAATGTTTGAAGAGCCATAATGAAACATTATTTTATAAGCTTAAAAATAAGCATGCAACAAATATGTATATACACATATACACACAAATAATATTTATACGAACATTTATGCATATCTATACATACATCTGAACATGCATATATACAATTTATACATAACTATACACACATCTATATATCTACATACACATTCATAGCTACACATTTATATGTACATACACACATATCTGTACAAACACACACACACACACACACACACTCAAGCACGCACACATTTAAATGGAGTTTCCAAACATCAGGCTCCCTCTAGAAGCCACAGACTATCAAACTCCCAATGCCAGTGAATGTACATCTCCTTTCAGGGGATCCAAGAGACCCAACCAAGTAATATGGGCCATTGTCCTCACTTTATTTACAAAGTTATTCAATAGTGTACCCCAGTTTACTCATTTCTTGTCAAATTTTTCTCCTCACTTGTGTCTTCATTAGTTCTAGATTTGGTGCATTCTCCTTCAATATATAAATGTGAAGACTAAACCTCATTACAGTTGTCCTGTAATTTAGAGACAGTTATGACCCCCCATCCGAGAAGTGAACAGTGTTTCACATTCCTTTTTTGTTTCATTATGAAACATTTAAGGGATGCCCTTAAATTGGTTTTTCCTCTGTGGGTTCCAAAACTAGCCGTTTCTCGATGCTCTTTGTTGCCTCTTACCTGTTTTCACTGTGCTTACTCCCTCTCCCACACTCTCGACTATTCCTGTTCCTTCATGGCCCATAATGATGGGGCAAAACTGGGCAAGTTCTTTTGAGTCCAGACTTTTTATATCTGTACCACAGATTCCCGAGGCCACCATCTGTGTGGAAAGCAGAGAACTGAGCTTATCTGTCGTGAAGGAGCTTCTGGGAAGGTTTCCAGTGCATTCGCTTCTATTCAGCTCGCACCATTGACAACTGTCAATAATTATTTGTGTAAAGGAACAGTGTTCTTTAGCTAATTTCTAGGATAAAATGCTGAGTCACAGTTTAGTGGAGTCAGACGAGAAGCTGGGGGAAACACACTGTGGGCATTAGTGACTTCTCCACTGCTGCGATAAAATATCATGACCCAAACAGCTCACAAAAGGAAGAGTTTACACTGCACTATGGTTCCAGAGGGAGATTTGAGTAATGGAAGGGGAGACATAGCAGCAGACAGCCAGAGGAGGAAACCGGGAGAACACATCTTTAACCAAAAAGCAATCAGAGGGCATACTAGATGTAAGGTAAGGCTATGAACTCCCAAAACCCGTTCCCAGTGTCTTCCTCTGGCAAGGCTGCATCTCTTTGTAACCTTCACAAACAGAACCGTCAACTGAGTGCCAAGTGTTCACATACTTGAACCGAAGGCAGGAGTCCAGTTGAAATCACCTCAGTGTGATACTGAAGATCCCACCTGGTCCTTTCTTGAGGGTGAAAGTGTGGAAGAAGGCAACTAATTATAGAATTAAAAGGTTGAGATATAAGACAGGAAGAGTAACATTACCTATTTTAACTATAGTTCTAGTTTATTTTGCAAGACACACTTAAAAGTTGTGTTAACAATTCCACTTTATTGTAAGTCACAACTGTGTTGTACTTGTGACCCAATTATAGGAAATGCATTTAAACCTCATAGATCTAGAACTGCACCAACCAACCTGCTTTTGTGCTCATTGTTTTGTTATGGTTCTGACACCATAGCTGGCATTGTCCTGTTAATCTCCAGTTATTTATCAGAGCCACCTGGATAATAATGGCTAGCAGCAGCGCCCCCACTCAGCCCCTCCACCGCTGCCATCACCTCCCTTGCTCTACATTTTGGCTCAAATGCACAGGTGAGAGAGTCACACTGTAGCTTGTCAGACAATGTTTGGGTGCCTTGAGTCTAAAACTAGTTGTATGAGCTGTAACCTTGTTGGGGTACACTCCATAGGGATCGATAAATACTACCCTCCTCACTCAGTAGAGAATAGATACCAGACAAGGTTCCTTGAGAAGAGGGTATGGTTTGTGTAGGTAGGGTAACTTAGAACTAACTATCTCTCCATAGCCCACCCGTAAATGATACATGCTCTTCATGGAAACAATCCAGTGATCTTGAGCCACAAGTCAGATGAGCTGCATTCTAGCTCCCTGGGAGCCAGTTAGAGTCATCTGGGGATATGTGCCACCCCAAGCCATCAGTTCATAACTTCAGAATCTCAGGGATGAGTTGCAGTTAGTGTTTTCTAAGCTCCTCATTAATTCCAAGCATGTATCCAAGCCTGAAAAACACTATTGAATGAGTTTTCTTATTCTATTTAGTGTGAACAGATACTTACTCTCCCTAACCTTTTCTAGACAGAAGACAATGTAGTATTCTTTTTGAGTAGAAGATTCTGAAAAGGACATATAATTGCAGTGAACAGCTTTGGTTTGGGTGTACAAATGTGGATTTTTGTCTTACCTTTACTCGAACTTCCTTTGCCTTTGGTGGGGCCACTTCTATCTCCTCAATGTCCAGTGGGGTCCCAGGCTTCCAGAGCACAGCAGCTTTGCATCTGATCACCTGGTGTAGCAGATGAGGGGAGAAGGGGGACTTAGTAGGTATGAGATATAGGAGATTCTTCTATTAGTAATTACTAGAAAGTACTATGCTCAAGAGGAAAATAGAAGAATGGGAAGATCTAAATAGATACTGAAATTGGTGACTCTTCCATAAATGTAGTTTTTCTTATGCTTTTAGCTTCTATATTTAAATTGGTCTAACAAATAGCACATATTTATAGGAAAGAACACACATAAAACAATGGATAGTTCTATCTATCTATCTATCTATCTATCTATCTATCTATCTATCTCTATTTCTCTAAAATAAAATCTTGTTATATAGCCCAGACTGTCCTTGAACTTGTGAACCTCCTGCCTCCACCTCCCTGAGCTGCCATTACAGGCATATGCCACCACTCCTGGTTAGATGCCATGCATTTGCTATTATTATGAATGAAATTGCCCATCAGTTACCCCAGGTTTGTGATGCTATTACAGTGTGGGGTTACTTATGATCCCAGGCATGAGGGATCTTGGAGTGAAGCAGTGAGTTCTGGATAAAGAGTGAAGACCCTCTGGTGGTGGTGATCAATAAATGATAATATAATCATTGGAGATTGCTGTGGAGAGATTGCCGATGCCAAGGCAGTTCTTAGGGGTTATGCTATTAGCCCATCATCCTTATTACAATTATCTTCCATTTTTATGTATTCAGCCACTACTTTTATGTAGATGACAAACAGTATCTATGGGATAGATTTCTCCCAGAGGTTTAGACAAGCCTTTATAGAATGTTTCCGGGTACTGAAAACTCAACATGTTAATATACAAATAAGCCATTCTTTCTCACATCTGTACCCTAGAGGACACAGTACACAGTCTGCTTTTCCTGTTTCAAACATGAAATCCAATCACTCTTCTAAGACAGAAACCTGGGAAGTAGCCTTAATTTCTCTCTGCCCTTTGTTGTTCATAGTCAGACATTTTCTGGAATCTGTGTCCTCCTCTCCTTTCTTGCTACCCCTGCATGGTCTGGGCCCTTACACTGCCTTTCACGTGGACCGCTGGAGGAGCGCTCTGCCCCCCCCCCACTGGCTGGTGTGAGCATCTGCAGATGCGCCCCCATACCACTCATCATCACCTCCCAGGCTGATGCGGTGTAAGCGATTCTCGTGCCAGCTGCTTACAGCATCCATGCACGTCTCAGTCTTCTCTCTGCAGACCTGTTTCCTGTCACTTTCTGCCCCAGCCTTGTCGTCTCGGAGATGAGCAAACGGGAGGTCTTTTGGCCTGTCTACTTTCCCTGTGGTTTCACTTGATTACAAAGCCCTTAAAAAGGGCTTCGTTTTGAATGGGGAAATCTGAAATATGCTGCTTACTGCAGTGATGAAAAACCCGAGAATGGACAAACAGATAACTGAGGTAAAAAGGGAAGGGAGCGAGGAAGAGACACACAGGGAGAGAGGGCGCCTACCTTGCCTGCAGTGCTCATGGTGACTTTCCTCTGTTCTTGTTTAGTGGAACTGTCTGGTGCCAGGAGGTCCTGGTGGCGATATTTACTGTGGAAACAATGAGAGTGTGTCAGCCTGTGAGCACTGGCAGCTCAAGTATCTGGGATCTGAGCTTTCTGTATAGTCAAGTCAGATAATTAAGCCATATCCTGTCAAATCTTGGAAAATGTGTATTTTCTTGTTACTTGAAGGAGATTCCTGTGAACCTATGTGGTAGGTTTCCTCAGGCAAAGAGCACAAAAGATGAAGTTGAATAGTCTCCCTCACTTAACCAGGATTGGTCTCTTTTTAGTATCTAGTCTATTGAGCTTTTAACTTGTATTGAAATGATCAGGTTTTGAAATTCTGCATCTATAAAATGATCTTTTTTGTTTTCAAATGTAGAGACAATAATCTTCCCTCAAGACAAGCAACCTTGGATTTATGAACACAGTTGCATCTGGGTATTGAGATGATTAGACAGTTTCTCTACCAGTTTTAGATGAATCCTCAGAGGAAATAAACCATCCTGTCTAAGGGGCCTAGAGACTAGGGTCTTGTAGTGGAAAAGCACATCTTTGTGCACACTGACAGTTTTGATTGAGATCCAAGGATCTTCATGAAGTCTAGAAATGAACACATTCCCAATAAGAGGCTACACAGTGCTTTTCTCTCCCAACTGTGTGATCATATGATTTTCCTTAGTTATATTTTTAATATGGTAGTTTATATTGATTATTACTTAATATATTTGTTGCATGCTTGAAACAAATCCTACTTGGATTAGTTTCTTTTATACAGAAGGGACTATGAATAACTATAATATTGTTTAATATACTTTGCTCATATTTGGCTAAGCATTTTTGAGTTTAGAGTCATGAGAGACACTTGTAGTTATCATTTTTGCTTTATTATCTGTATGATTTTGGTGTTATGGTAATATTGACTTTATGGAAAAAAACAAAAGAAGATATAGCTAATATTCACCTCTTGAGTTTTAAACATTGAAGCAAAAACTGTAATCTAGAATTGATTGGCGTCTTTTCTTAACTGACAGACACAACATACTTGATCCAAGATCTCTAGAAAGTAACATTTTTGGGAGGCTCTTCTGGGATTTTTTTCCCTAAGGCCCACCGACTCATAAATGTGAGTATAAATCAGACCCAACCCTGAAAGGATAGGAAGGTATGACTGTTGAGTTGCCGGCTCCTTCTGCCATCCTGGAGTGGGGCTGGTAATTTACCTCCTTCTCTCTTACAAGGAGGTTTTCTGACTCTTAGTCTCTGTGTTCTCCAGGAAGCCAGTTAAACAGGATGGTGGTCAGAGACCTGTGAACAGATATTGAAACTGTACTATTAACTTAAGGCCTAGAATTTTTCTTTTTAAAGCAACTTTCTTTCCCACCCTTGTCGCTTCTGCAGCGTTGACTGTGAGACCTGCTAACTACAGTTTGAACTAATACTAGATTATGGTTAAATTTCCTTTGCCTCCCTCTTTAGTCACTATATAAGAGAGACCTAATATGATTATATGTACTCTGACAGCTATGTAGGACCCTGCTGCCAGTGGCTGAAACCATGCGAGTCCATCTTCTATTTCTTTATTTTGCTGTTTGGGTATCGTCTCCTCTCATATCCATGCTAACCTAACTAAAATGCCTTTTAAAAGAAAAGTGTGTCATAGCCCACAGTTTGTGAGATATGTGGATCCCATAGGGACTTGTGCCTGATGGGAGATGGGTTCTTCATACCAGAGACCCAAGGTCACCTGATCAGAAAGCAAGCATTGTTTGCTGTTGTTTAACTGGTGACCTCATCCAGATGGGAGCATCCATGTGACTTGGCCTCGTCTTTGCCAATGTTATCATAAAGAAGGCAAATGCTATGTGACTTCATTGCTATCTTGGTTAATGTAACCACACGACCTAAACCAATGTGGTCATACCCATAAAACTTCCTGGTCCCATTGAGCCCTCTGGTAATCATAGTATCTTTTTTAATTTTTAAAAATTTTATTATGTATTAGACTAAGGATGTAATATCACACCTATAAGGTGGGTTATTGCTCTTTTTTAATTTTGGTACATAGTTTTGTATGATATATTTACTGTCTTTAGAGGTGAGCCAAGAGTTTCCCCATCTACATGCTTTCAACAACTGTTTCTTACAAAGGGAGCTATCAGTTTGTCATTTGTGGTCCCAGGGTTAAATATTGGTTGAGTGCAGATTCCCAAAAAAGCCTCAAGGGATCAGCTGTCAGATGCTAGACAGGCACTGCCAGTGGGCAGCTGCTGTGGCCAAGGCAGGACCAGTCAGTCAGCTGGGCAGGAAGGTAGTGGGGAAGGGTATGCTGGGTCTTAGTGCTTGCTGTTTGTTCCTCGTCTCTACAGGTCCATTTCCATCTGAGATAGAATGTCCTTCCGACCTCAGTCCTCCTTTGTTTCTTCCATGTTTGCTTTTGTTTCAGACCCGTGGAATTCTGGGTACCCTAGTTCTTACTTTTACCTTCTAGTTATAGTAACAGAGGAAGGAAAAAGAAACAACCTTCTGTCCCCTTCTGAGTTCTAAGTGTCTTTGTTTTGTTTTCTCTGTTTACTATCCTCTGCATTACAGGGACTTAAACCCATTTATACGTGGTGAATTACAAAGAGCCTTTCCACACCAAGACAGTCACCTTTGACTAAGAAGACAATCACCTTGACTGCTTATGCTTGCTTCCTGTCTGAATTTTAAAAACACATAATATGGCTTTACCAATTAAGAAAACAGACAGGAGTCAAAGAGACTGAAAGGTAGAACATCTGATTCCCTTTTTGTCTCACTTGGAACAATATGTACCTCTCATCTCCCCCTTTGTTATAGTCTAGACATTTTGATTGGGTTCATTTTCTCTGCCTGTTAAAGAATTAAAAGTCAGGAAAAGTCTTGGGTATGACAGGTAGCAGCAGAGAAGAGAACTCTTGAACACAGCAAATGGGAGCAGACAGACTCAGCAGTTGAAGGAAGACACAGAGAAAAAGACCTGTAAAACAGGGGCACCCAGGAGCCCCCAATTCAGCCTTCTCTCCAGGGCTGGAGGTTTTAAGTCTCTGACGAGTCTTCCTCTCCCAATTTAAGGTTGTTCAGTTTGAAGAAAGATGGAATGATGGGTTGGCCCCAAATGTTTTGTGACATGTCCTGTCCTAGCCTAGAACTTGTTGAACTAGTTCATGAATATGCCTAATGTTTTTGTCTCAGGTCAGAAAGGTGAGGAAAAAGCCAGCCAGTCATCTTGGAAGTTCACCATTTTTTACCTAGCCCTGATTCCTTTCCTGATACGTCTGTCTACCAGGGAACCTGATTCCTAGTCCCCCCTCTCCAGGTCACCCTAACTGCTGTATGGATTTTGGGGTGCTAAGCACTCTTAACTGTTCTGAGCTGACAGAAAGGGTTGATGAGGAAGGGGCAGCAGTCAGAGTGCCTTAAGGAGGGGTTGATCTAAAGGGTCAAGGTAGTACTTAGGTGATATCTAAGATTCACAATAGGCAGCCATTTGATGACAGCAGGTATTTTAGGAGTGCCATACAATTGAGGTAGTACAGGTAACATACAACAAAGGAGACTATTAGTAGTACTATAATTCTACTAAAAGTGTAGTTAGAAAAATAGTTGGGACAGCTTTGCCTTTATTAGAGAAAGAGAACAAGCAAGAAAACCATTTAAAGAATTCTTGGCAGGCTTTGTCATAGGAATCAATGAGATTGATGCTTTTTGCTGTCACCATGGTCCACCCACCACAAGATATGGATCATGGAGGAGGCCACTTGTCCTGCTAAAGATTTCAAGGGGCCTTTCATCAGTCAATTTAAGCTCAGAAGTCAGCAACTGAGTTTCTTTTACTGTATCCTCATGAAGAAAAGACAAAGTTAATGAAGAAAAAATTTTCACATTATAATTAACCTAAGTCCTATTTAGTAAGGCAAAACATAGTTGTGTAGCTGGCTGGACAGTGTACCAGAACCTTCATAATAGTTAGAATTACGTAGAAGGATAACATCAGAGAAATCTTCTTCTCTCTGTCTCAATTGATATAAGCCATATTTGACAGATCAAAGTGTAACTGGGCAACCAGCTGTTTGTTATATTAGACTCCTGCACAAGGAATGAACACTTGGAAACTTTGTAAGAAAAGTAATTAATTTTCCTATTGTCAGTAATAGGTGCCATAGATGCCTCTGTCCATGTGTAATGCCCAGTGGAGGTGGACAGTATGGGTCAAACCTGAGTGACTTCCAGATTCCACAATCCTGAATCACAGCCAGACAGTAGTAGCTAGCTGGTATTCTAAAAGAGGAGGATCTTTTTGTATAGGATCATGTCACAATGTCCCAGGGACATCATTTGGGTGTCCTGAATAATCTTCAAACTTGAGTTTGACAACAGGACACGTGGAAATCTCCTTTAATCACTGACCATGAAGGGTCAGAGTGCAGAAGGACATGACAGCTGTGAGAAGTGCTTCCAGAGGCAGTGATCTATGGTTGGTAAATACAGCTTTCATACCGATTTGGCCTCAGTGTTTAAGAACTGTCTTCTTTTCCTCTGCAGATGGACACTGCAGTGTTGAAGTAAGTTAAGGTCTTGTCCTTTGTCTGTGCAATGTATATATTTGTCAGGAATAGAATCATTAGTGAGAATGCTGTCCAAATAATCTCTCTTATGTACCATGTATAAGGACTGTAGTTCCCTGAACTGTTAAAGAAACATGGATTCTTTTAATTCTGGTTAATACCTTTATGCTGGGTGTTTAAGACCATGTAGGTGGCCAAAATTAATCATTTTCTTTTTTTCTGCCAAAGAAGTTGAAGATTTGGTCCTCAGGCATGGAAGGGCATGGAAGAAGTCTTCTGCCCATCTAGTCTTTCTTTTGTCATTTATTCCATATATGTGAGGATAAGTCAAAGGTCTTGCTTGACCAGTGTTTCACCAGCAAGTGTAGAGGCAATTTTTACTGTGTTGACCATCCTCTTGGCAGACTGGACACTGGTTAGAATCTACTCAGTGACATATATATCCAAGGCCTACCAA